GTATGTATGTATGTATGTATGCATCAGTGGTGGGATTCAGCTGGTTCGCACCTATTCGAGAGAACCAGTTGTTAACTTTCTAAGCAGTTCGGAGAACCGGTTGTTGGAAGAAATGTCCTTTTGTTTTTCCCCACTTTGCAGGGCTAATCCTGTAAGGAAGGCAGGAAGGAAACATTCTGGTGTTTCCAGCCTAATCTTTATTACCCTGCTTACAGAAACCGCCTCTCCAGTTAACCCTTATTACATTGTAACAGCCAACGAGTGACATTGAATTGGCCACACCCACCCAGTCACATGACCACTGTGCCCCACCTACCCAGCTGGTCATTAGGACAGAGAACCAGTTGTTAAATTATTTGAATCCCACCACTGGTATGTATGTATGTATGCATGCATGCATTTTTACCTTGCATTCAAACTCCATATTTTGACTTAAGTGAATCAATTCTTCGGTGCTCTTCATACGCTGGACATTTGCATTGCAATCTTTGATGAGCTGTAGAGAGAAAAAGGCCATCAGAATAGAAAAAGGGGAGGAAAAAATATTTGCAAAATCACCCATTTTTACTTTGAAAGAATCAGATTTAAAAGAGGTTGCTTCTTCCTTTAGCACGCATTATTATTTCTCGGAGCGAGCAGGGATTATGCACATCCGAGAAGAGCAGTTCCAGGTGCTCCTTAGAAATGTTATTCTATATATCTCAACTCATTTTAATTTTGGTTTCGAAGGGTGAATTTGACTAGAACTTATCCCACAATTGTTTGGCCCATCAAAGCAGAAAGAGACCAAGAAATATCTAATTTATTTATTTTTTTCCTTTTTAGCAATAACTTTTTAAGGATTACATTAAACAGATAAAACAGAGAGCAATTTCCCCTACTACATTTCTTTTTTTTAAAAAAAAAATAACTATCAAAAAATTTGCAGTGATCCATCTTTTAAAATACCTCAGTTTTGCATTCTGTGTTGGTTTATTATTCAAATAGTAATTTAAGTATATTTGCATTCAGGGGCAAACTAAATGCTTTCCTTTCCATTCCTACTCTAGGTAAAGCTAAAGGTTCCCCACGCACATATGTGCTAGTCATTCCCAACTCTAGGGGGCAGTGCTCATCTCCCTTTCAAAGCCGAAGAGCCAGCGCTATCCGAAGATGTCTCCGTGGTCATGTGGCCGGCTAAATGCCGAAGGCGAACAGAACACTGTTACCGTCCCACCAAAGGTGGTTCCTATTTTTCTACTTGCATTTTTACGTGCTTTCGAACTGCTAGGTTGGCAGAAGCTGGGACAAGCGACAGGAGCTCACTCCGTTATGCAGTGCTAGGGATTCAAACCGCCGAACTGCCGACCTTTCTGATCAACAAGCTCAGTGTCTTAGCCCCTTGAGCCACCGCGTCCCTGTTATTCCTACTCTACAGTGAGGGTAATATCATGCCTCTCTGTTCCAAAAATGGAAGTAAAACTCCTCACCAACAACCTTGGATATTTCAGCTTCGGAACCGAAAGGAGATTTTTGTGTGAGGAGAGAAGAGGGGAGAAGATGGACGTTTGAAAAATCAGATTCCGAGGGGTTTTTACCTTTTCAAGAGCGTCATATGCCTGTGTGGCCTGGACTTCTTCATCGGCCCCAGGTGGAATTCTTTTCAGGATGTTCTGCAGAAGGAAAGATGGATTGATTGATTGATTGATTTCCCGCCTTTATTATTTCTACAAATAAACCAAGGTTTAGGTTTAGGTTTAGGTTTAATTTATTTGTATGCCGCCCTTTCTCTGAAGGGACTCAGGGCGGCTCACAACTCAAAAAGGTGACAAACATATCCAACATACCTTTCTCAGGAGACTGGGAGTTCTAGTCCTGCCTTAGGCATGAAAGCAAGCTGGGTGACTTTGAGCCAGCCCCTCTCTTTCAGCCCAATTCATCTGGCTTTCATACCTAAAACGGGACTAGAACTCACTGTGTCCTGGTAAACGGCCCAAAGTCACCCAGCTGGCTTTCACACCTAAGGCGGGACTAGAACTCCCAGTCTCTTTGTGATTGGCTCAAAGTCACCCAGCTGGCTTTCATACCTAAGGCGAGACTAGAACTCCCAGTCTCCTGGTGACTGGCCCCACCCAGCTGGCTCTCATGCCTAAGGTGCGACCAGAACTCCCAGTCTCCTGGTGACTGGCCCATCCAGTTGACTTTCATGCCAAAAATAGGACTAGAACCTACATTTTCCCACTTTCTAGCCTGGTGCCTTAACCACTAGTCTCCCAAACTGGTTCTCTGTGAAAAGCTGGAAAGCTTCTATATTTTCTAATCCCCCCACTTTTTTTTGTTTAGTTTTTTTGGAACTAGTCATCAGTTTTGAACTCAAACTGATCTCACGGCAGCCACGAATTCTCGCCAACATCTTGAGAACAGGAAATGGGGCAACACCACTATTTCTAGATCTAGAGATCTTTGCTAGAGAACTTGATAAACATCTCTTCTCTTTTTCTCCAAGGGGACACAGAGAATCGGAGTAAGAAGGAGAACAACGCCCGGGTTTTTATAGAAGGAAAAAAAAAGAAGAGGCGAGGCCTAGCAAACCCTATTCAATCCGTGTGCAGGTAGTCCCTGACTTACGACAACAATTGAACCCCAAATTTATGTTGCCGAGTGATAAATTCATTTCGCCCCACTTTACAAATTTTCCCGCCGCATTTGTTAAGCGAATCACCGCAGTTGTCAAAGGAGTAACCCAGTTAAGTGAATCAGTTCTTCCCATTGGGTCGCAAAAGGGGATCACGTGACCCCCCAGGACACTGCAACCGTCATAAATGTGAGTCAGGGGTCAAGTGTCCGAGTGAAAAATCACGTGACCCTGGGGATGCGGCAACGGTCATACGTGTGAAAAACGGTCATAAGTCACTTTTTTTCAATCTCGTTGCAACTTCAAATGGTCACTAAACAACCTGTTGTAACTACCTGTATTCCCTGAATTACGACTGGTTGTTTAGCTTTTGAAGTTGCAATGCCCCCATGAAAATGCTTACAACACAGTTACAAAGTTCCAATAGCCACTCCCCCGGTCACGTAAGTTACATTTTGGTTGCTTGGCAACTGGCTCACATTTACGGCCCGTTGTATCATCCCAACATTGACTGCCCACAATTTACGATATTTTTGTCGCTTATGTCTTGGTTGCAGCAAAAACACCCCATTGTGAACAATGACTACTGTATAAGCAACCAGATCGTAAAAACGGGACCATCACGCTCAGGACTTATGACGGTAACAGGCAGGGCCCGTTACCGTTGTAAGTTGAGGGTTAGCTGTGTATCAATGGTAAATGAGGTTGAAATAGAATACTGAACGTGTGCAGGGTTCTGGATATAACAAAGGGCTTTGGAGTAGAGGTGGAAATGATGAGGCCAATAAGGAAGGTGATTGTTGTGACCTGCCAGTGGCCAGAGGAGCTGGCAGCAGATTCAGACAGTGAGGAGGTTGGGGAGGAACATGGGCCGGTCCTGGAGTCTGGGGAAGGCTCTGACGAGGGCTCTGCGTCGGAGGCACAAATGGGGCTAGGGTCTTCTGACAATTATCAGCTGCCTTTGGAGTAGGATATCAGTGGGGCAGAAGAACAGCTGGAGCCTGTTTCCGATGTACGCATGTGCAGAGCTGCCAGCAGAAGGGAACAGTTAAGGAACAAGGGCCGACTCGGGAATAAAGGCACAGGTGGATGGTGAATGGCCCCTCCCATAGGGAATAAAGAGGAGCGAAAGGGGAGTGGAGTTTGCAGGAGACAATTAGTTCGCTTCATTAGGGTGGAAGATCTGTTCCTGACTACTTGCCAAGTAATTCTGCTACAACATGGTGTTTGAAAGATATCGGCCTGGCAGCTCTCCAAGCCTGCTAAAGGTCTGTAGTTGTGAACTCTCAAGAAAGATTGTCGGCCGGGACTTGGCTGGAGAGGAATTCCCTTTAACCCAAATAAAAGAGGTTTTTATCGGGACGAGGAGTCGGCTTCATGATCTTGGGGTGCCTCGGTCAGAAGAGGACCATTGCAACTTTTCTACGTTCACATGATCAAAATACGGATGCTTTGACCACTGACCCACATTTATGACGGCGGCAATTTTTCCTGGAACTATGTCATCTACTAACTTAACTGCAGCGATCCCCTTCACAATTGTGGCAAGAGAGGTCATAAAGTAGGGCAAAACGTACTTTGCTGTCTCGCTTAGTGACGTTAATTTTGGGCTCTATCGTGGTCATACGTCGAGGACTACCGATGTACGTAA